TTATCTTTTGTTCAACTTGCATTTTTATGTATTATTTCTCTTGAAGTTGAAATATGATCTAAAATCTTTGTATTTTTCTCTATCTCTACTGATTGATCAGATGATCCTAACACACGAACTATGTATCAAAGCTGAGAATATTTCATTCATTTTTTGTCCAATTTTATTCCGTAGTTGATTTCGCATATTTTGCATTAGTCGATATTTTCGTCCGATGACATGATATGATAACTGTTTTTGTGATGAGTCGTAAGAGAATCATACAATACGTTCAAAATAATCTGCTCCTTTCTATAGACACGGAAAACATGAAGTTTCTATAAAAAGGACATCGGAGACGATGGTGAACAACAACTATACTTCAAGAGCTAGGTCTCTTCGAAAAAAAATATCAAAGATGACTTTATGAATCTCTTGACACACGTGAAAAATGAAAATAAAGCATCAATAATCGAATATTTGTTTCATGCATTCTCATGATCTTATTGTAGGTATCTCCAGAATCTTATATTACTCAACGCAATCTAATAATTACTCACAATGAATATCTAATCGATCTTTTTCAATAATTCGATGTAATTTATTGAATTTCTGGATCTATTACATGGACATATCTTTCTTTTTGTAGGAAATGTCAATTCTCACTACTTATTTCGATATACTAAAGGATCATTTTGCTGAGCTTATGAAATGATTGTAAGAAAAATTGAAGTGAACAACAAATTGATTGACTCCATTCATATAAACAGTAATAATGCACTAGAAAGATTTTGACGATGTCTTTTTGTAAAATTTAGAAAAAAGGGTTAAAAACAGTTATTATTAGATGACATCGATATTTCTATCAAAATGTATCAGATGAAATTCAATGGAAATTCTCATAAAGCGATGCCAGAAAACATGCATAGCAGTGAATCTAGAGGTAAGCTCGGATCGACTTTAGGATATCGTGTACATGTGAATCGCCTATTTATAATACATGGACACCCACATCCACCCTTATTCGAGTGAAGCAAATGAAGAATAAACTTATTTTCGACTCGATAAATACTTGATATCGATGAGAAATTATTTAAAAGCAGAAAATCGTATATAGTGCAGAACATTATCAAGTCATATATTCACTCTGTGATGATTCTACAAGATTCAAGAAATAAATAGATGATGATTCATCGGAGATAGTCTATAAACAAAGGATGAAAGAATAAGTCATTATCGCTTAGTTAGTTTGTTAACAAAGAATAATTCTTGTTTTCTTCTAGATTATATTAGATTTTCAAATCGAAACATGAATATTGATCAGGAAATATAAGTTATTTAGAAAAAAACAAGCTTTAATAATATTAGATTTTCACATAGTATGTCGATTAGTTCCAGCGAACATTTATCCAACGAAATTGTTTTTGAAATATTCGATTATCTGGATGGTATTGATATATACGAAGCATTTTCAAATCTTAATTGTCGTTTGGAACAATTTCTCAATTTATCATCTCTTTTATTTAAAATTAAACTTCAATATTCAACAGCGAATCAAATATTTATGAAAAATTATCAAAAAATTCTTCTTCACAATAAATCTCAAATATTTTTCATGAATGTATGGTTATCAGCATTAAACGATCAATTTTTCACATTTTATCCCATCAATTTATCGTTTAATCATCTCGAATCACTAATTGTTGAATATCTTGAGTCAGATATATTCATTTCATTTCTCACTAATTTAGCGTACTTACCATATCTTTCTTCGTTATCTATGAAGACATGGAATATTTCTGCAAATTTAAATGATATTTATTGATTAATATTTGCTTTACCGACATTAAGATATGGTAAATTTTCTTTATGTACAGACGACAGTTCAATTTCACTTCCAATGACTACTAATCAACAATTGAGTACTATCGAACATCTTGTTATTAATCATTCTTGTAAATTCAACGAACTTTTTACTATATTATCTTATACATCACAACATTGTCGTCTCAGTTTTATGGATGCCTACGACGATGACACCAATATTGGAATTATGTCACCAATAACAGTATTAAATTTCACACATCTTTCTTTATATATATACACTCTACGGCATTTGACGCTTTCGAAATATTCATTCGAAAGATATATTCAAAATTAAAAGTTTTACATATTACTATTCGATCGGATAATATTGATTATCTTGATAGTATTCGATGGAAAAAATTGATTTTAGAATATTTACCTCAATTAGAAAAGTTTTATTTCGATTATTATATAGAGTTTGAAGATGATACTAAACCTTCAAAATATATTGGACAATTCAATCAATTCTCTTCATCATTTTGGATTGATTGACAATGGATATTTGAAAGTAAAATTCATGTGTACCAAATTATACATTCAATTCGTCCTTATATGTATGTTATCAAAAAGAAAATACATTCTTTATTGTCATTTGTTTTTTCTTTTTTACAGGAAAAGATGGTATGAATATAGACAACATGATATTGTTAATTCATCAATTCAACTGTCTAAATCAGCTAATCTTGAAGTTAAGTGTATTATTCCTGATCAAGAAACGGCATTCTTAATTTCAAATATTAAATTAGTTTTAACTGTAGCAGATATTTATCATCTGGAACTTCTTGATAGAGAGATCTTTATTAGTACATTAATTGCAATCATATATTCATTACCTAAACTTGTTTCATTAAAACTTCATTTCATTTTCACAATCACGAAATTTATCTAATAAAGAAGTTAAAAGATTTTTATGCATATCAAAAAGAAGTAAAATTACGAAAGTTTATTTCGAAAAGACAAGTAATATGGAAGAAGTTCATCTTCTCATGCAACCTTGTCCTCGTATCAATTATCTTCAAGTCAATTCTATTAATGATATTAATGTCGAATTATTTATACGAGATATTTTAATGAAAATTAATAATTATAGCAATGAATATCTTCATTTATTGTGTTTTCGTGTTCCAACTGTAGATGATAAAATGATTAGTGTGAAGAAACTGTTGATAGATTATGAAATAAAACGTGTAATTGATCATATTTACTTACAATGGAAATGAACATAACAAACGTGGCATTTACAATCTGTACTTAATTGTTAAAAACTATCGTTTTTTTTATCATTTTACTCTTCTTTATATTATATGTTATGAGAAGAAACGTGGATTTGAAACAATGTTTCACGGAATCCTTCTCATACGGATTGCTAATGTTCTTATTCATTTATTTATTTTTATTTGTTCTATGTTGTGGTTATTCTATTATTCACTTGGGGACATGCTAATTATCGTTTCATTATTTCTTTGTCTTCCTTATTTATGTGTATATAGTTGTTTATACTTCTTGTTTTCTTTTCACTTCTATTTATTCTATGTACTGACAGGATCCAATTGATTATCGGACAGACTAGTAAAAAAATAAAAACAAGTATGGTATTGATTTTTTTGTAAAAGATTGTTTGATAAATCAATGAAAATTTCAGTTACTTCAAGTTCATATGGTTGAAATTCTATCTGTAACTGGTATGAATCAATTTTCAACGAGAAATATATTTGGTGTTAGAATAGTGTTTTCTCTTTATCTTTGGTAAACATATTCGAAGTTGTTCGAAAGACTTTCTAAATAAAATCTATGATCTAGTTCGATATGATTGAATACAAAAACTTCAACAATGGAGATCTTTTTAAAAAATATTTTAGCCTTTTAGGTGTACGTTGCTTAGAAATTCGAAGTGCCACTATCAAGTAAATTTTGCTTTTTGCATATCAGAAAAAAAATCAATAATATCGATTTTCGAAATCAACTTTTTGCTTGAAAACTTCTTTTTTTTCTGTCATTATAAAGAAGATTTATCTGGAGAGCTGTGGTAAAAATTATTTTCTTTATCATATCCGCACAGAAAATGAATCGAACGCTTTCTCGTGGAAATCTAACTCGTCATTATCTCATTCTGTTTTTGACAATGAGTGGGTGTAGGTGTGACTAATTAAAATACTCGTCTCACATCCACACCCTACTGAAGTTTAATCTTATGTTTATCACTTAAGAATAAATGATTTCGAAATATACTAAATGCATTGATGATAATCAAAAAAGTTACCGATTAATTTAGAATCTAAACTTGAAATTTTGATCTAAAAAGTTTCAGGATCACTTGTTGGCTGTTTACTAATGAATGTTAAAAACTCATAATGGGCCAACAAGCCACAAATCATTTTCCAACTGCATCAATAAAAGCAATTTTTTCTTATATGAAATTGGCTACTCTCTAGTCTCATGCATCTTTAAACAACAAATGTAAGTCTTCATAAAAATAGATCTAAAATATATAAGTCTGTTACAAAATCGAACAATCTATTCATTCACAATATTTTGCAAAAATAGGCTGTGGGTGTAGGGCTTGAAAGCTAAACACCTCACACTCATCCTATATCTGGAGAACAGTTCATCCATTTGAGTTAATATTTTCAGTTTCCTTCTAATGTTATCAGATTTATTTACTGTTAAAAAATTGGTGGGATCAATTGAACAAGGCTGAGCAGAAAATAGTCGTGACTTAGCTGCGATGGCTCCTACATTACTCCATCTATATGTTCGTGAAAATAAAGTCGAATATTGCATAATTTAATATCAAAATTGTCAGTGCAAAAACCTCTATAAATCCGAAATTTTCAATGGAGGTGGATAGGGTCATCAGATCGATCTGGCAAGATTCCATTGATACATCCTTATGCAATCTTCCCTTCTAACAATATTTAGATTCTTTAAAAAAATCAATCCTTAATGTAACCTGAAAATTCTTCTTTGTTCATTGCAATTAAGTATCACAACATCAGTATTTATCAAATAGGTTTATACACAAATTATTCTAAAAACTTTGGCTTCTGATATGTGTTTCTTTTTAAGTGATTTAAATCAAAAGTACTTTATTGAATTTATTTTATTGTGACATGCCGACAATGTTTAGAAAGCATTAGTTCATGAAATAGTATCGATTACGCAAACGGAGGAACTGAATCACATGCATCTGGATCATCGTCACGAGCCGTCTTGAAATCACAAATCAGTCCTCGTCGACATACATGATTACATTGGGATCCATCTGCATACGATTTTGTATAGTGTTTGTATACTGTACTCATCAGTGGCCCGTCAATATCATTCTCGAGTCTTTTGATGAAATTATCCCAATCAGTAGGAAACAAGTTCTCCATTTGATAGGCATCACGAGCATTATACTCATTTTGCATAATTGTTCGGTTGTAGAGGTTCGTTGCAGTTAAATTCATAATGACTGTACGATGATCGAGCACCCAATAGGAACTCGAGGGATACTCACCATCCATTGTATAAACACGATAGCCCGGATTCAAGAATGATTCGGTTGTCAACGATGGTGCTATGTAAGCCTACAATTTTCAAGAATTAAACAAAAAATCTAGATACACAAGTTCTGCTCGCGATGGAAATTCACTTACCATCGAAACAGGTCGTTGGTGATCATTCTCATCATAGAACATGTTGAATTCATCTCGATGTGTGTGACCATAAAATTGACCGGAGATCGTATTTTCAAATCTATTCAACGTATAAAAGACTATAATAACATATGTTCTCGAACCGTTTACCGATTGACGATCCTATTAAAATTCCAACCGAATGCTGCAAAACATGTTCGTGGTGGATGATGGGCGATAATGTGAACCTTTTCTCCATGGTCTTCAGCATATTGTAACCATTGTATCAACTAGAAAGTATCAACAAATGTTACTACTTCTATTTTTTTCTCATCTGATAACTCACCCACTCAAGTTGATTGAGAGGATCAGTCGAATTGATGAATAACCAATAGTTATCCGATGCGTAATAATTCGTATTGAGCGAAATCAATCGTAGACCGGGACGTACAATTGTTGTATAGAATCCACCACGAAGAATACTTTCGCGTGTATCATTAGGTAGACCGAATGTGTTTATCCAACTATCGGCTAGTGCTTGATATAGCCATGAAATATTGTCCGATCGAATGTTCGGTGTCGGAAAGAGATTGCACGGAGCTATGCAGAACAGATAGAGTAGAATGAAGGACAGAAAGAGACAAAGCTTGTACCTGCTTCATGATTGCCGACGGCAGAATACAACATTTTATTTGGAAATGTCGTAGCTAACAAATTATTGATTGTATTTATTGCATAGAGTTGGTCAGCACGAGATTGATTCCACACATTGTGAGGTGGTGTATCGCCAGTATAGTAGATGAAATCAATCTGATGGAATAAAAAAAGAATAAGAATAATAAATCGAATTTTGTCAATAACCTCTTCTGTTTTTGCGCCATATTCAAGTATGGCTTGAGCCGTCCAATACGGTATGTCACAGTGAAGACTGGTTCCCCTAAAAAGACAGATATTTCATACCGCATATTGTTAAATGATTGAAAAGACATACCAGAAGCCAGCACCCGGATGACCAGGAACTGTATTTAGAAATGGGACCTTTTAAATAGTGATACATGTGTATACAAAATACTCACGAGGTGGACCTTTTCGACAGCACAATGGTTCAAGGCAGTCTGCTTCAGATCCTGGCTTGTACTCAAAATCCACGTGAATATCGGCCAGTTGTAGCACTTTCAGTTTTGGCGAGTCAGGCTAAAGCGTGAGAAAAAGTGTGTTCAGTATAGAACATAATACTCAGCAGAACAATAAAGAACTCAAGATCTTTGATGAATCATTCTCAATTTGGATTCGTGCTTTTTTGTGAATGCTATACTGTTCAATACATTCTTTCGAATACACACACTTACTGAAGGTGGTTTTGGTGGTTGTGGAGGTGGTTTTCGGTCAGGAATAGCAACACTCCAATTCAACACAGGATAATCAGTTTGTCTATCGCAGTTTAGAGCAAGTGAACATAGTGCCTTATTACTGAAATGCGTTAGAGCAATGACTTGAAAAATGGCATCCTATTTTCAAGAAAAGAGATGATATGCAGATGGATAATAATAATGAATATTTCACTTTGTATTCGTGCACAGCACCGCTACAAACATCGAGAACCAAACCAAATTCATTACAAATTTCAAGAGTCACGTTTTCAAGGCGCTCCGTTTGATTGACATCGATGAGTATTCGAATCTAGTACGCACACAATCAAATATGAAAATATGAGAAAGAAGAAATTTCACTCACAACAGGAAGAAGAATATGGCATATTTTACAATATAGGTCCTCCTCATTGATATGTTGCTGGAACATCCATCGAAGTGCCTTGATATTGTTGGAATGTTCGAAACGATATCGATAGTTGGTGAGAGTAGTAAACAATTCTTCATTCTCATTTGTGAGACCGTTCACTAGTTGATCAACAGTATCCTGTTGAATTGCTCTAGCATCGATTGTCACTTGAGCAAAAATGATGAAGAAGAAGAGTAGAGAGACTATTTGCGAAGTCATAAACAAAAAATTGACAAGAAATGAAGAGTGGACTTGGACCAACACGAACTGACATAACAATGTTTGATAATTATCAACGTATCTTTTTTCTCTAGGGCAAGGATTCTTTCAGGTAACGT